ATTTGAATCCACATCCCTTTGCCCCTTTTGTAGGCAAATTCCCCCAAAGCGTCGAGTTCGGATGCGACACCCCAAGAACTCCGGAAAAGCGGCCTCTGGAGAAGAGCGACTGGGTTCCAGCTCCTCACTGGAATCGATCCATGAAGCGGTGGTCCGTGGGGAGGGTCTGAGGTTGAAAGTCTGCGAAAGTCGGAGATCGGGCCCTAGAGAGATTCACCACCAATGAGGCTTCAGGTCCATTTGATTGGTTGAGGGAAACCTGTAAGAATGTGGATCTTGATGTTGCGGTGTGTGATGCTCTGTGGGTGTTTGTTGATCTTGATGTTGTTCGGATGTTGGTTCATGGAAACGAATACTGGTCACCAATGAGCCAGTTTGTCCTGCAGACTGGTTCTTTCACGAACATATCCAATCTGTCTTGAAGAAAGTCCACTACCATCGTGTTGTGGTCGATCTGCTTCGATTCACTGCTGGTGGAGGCCACTGGTTTCGCAGGCCAAACCAGTGGTGGGCGACGTATTCTCCCAGGCTTTTTGCTGATGGATGTGTCTCAACGGATGTTCAAGTGCCAACAATCAATCAATTCCCCTTGAGGAGGGTGCAGTGAAAACGCGCATGTGCTCAGCGCAGGACCTGCTCGGCCTCTTCCACATCTTGAGCTTCGTCTGCCCCTTGCAGAGCGCCCAAAACGACTACGTCCTGCAAACGGGCTGTCTGCGGAATGTTCGCAAGAACCGTGTTCTCAATCATCCCAAATCCTTTCAAAAGCTGGCGTCTAGCCCTAAGCCATGGTGCATATGGGGTACGCAACAGGAACATGCCCTGTGAATGCAGGCCATCAGCCCGCTCCTCGGACATCCCTCCGGCGGCCTCTGGGGGAGGCCTCAGAAAACGAGGACACGTGAGAAATGGCACCACAAGAAGTTTCGCCGCATGTTTCTCTCTGTGACAGGTTGACATGGCATGTTCTTGTGTTCCGTTCTTTACTTGACACGAAGATGTTTAGCATAGAACTACTGTCAGCTCTGTAATTGCTAGCACCAAACAGCAGGTCTTGGTTCACATCGGAAGGGGATCTGAAGATGAGAGAAGATCACCAAAAAGTCGGATATCCTCCCGGTGCTGTCGCACAAGATGTTTGGTGCTGTCGACCATCATAAGACGCCCCAGTCGAAGAAGAGCCCTGGAGACTGCCTCAGGAGGCCTTGTCAGGAGACTCCTCCGTCTGCGAAACCCTTCCGATGTTTTTAAGCTTGCCGTGCTCATAACGGGGCAGTTCTCTCTTTCTGAGGCCCAAAGCTCATAGTTCAGTTCAGGATCCTAAAGAAAAACTAGAAACATCATGAAACATCTGGAAAACGTGGAAGGATTCTCTTTTGGAACTGGTCCGAAAGACCTACTTCTCGCTCCTCCCTGGGCTTTCCAGGCTCTTCAGCTCCCAGCTGTGGCAGGTCCAAACCCATCGCAGTTCCAGGAATCTCAGGCAGATCCTTTGGACATCATCGAGTCGGCTGGGAGTCATCCTCCATGTTGCGGGAGTACGTTGCGGGAGATGTCATGGATTCGTTTTCGCACACCCTGCGGGCTCCAGCATCATGTGCATTGAACAGACTTCACATTGAGATGTCTGGATTGGGTGCCACCTTCGCCCATCTCTAACCTTGCTTGAGACCTGTCTCATCCAGTCCTCTTGGGCCTTGGCGTTTTTGAGGGAGGTACCCTGAAGAAAAAACCATCAGAACGGTGACCTCCAAGGACCCAAAAACCAGGTCTGGAAGAACATGCCCGACGAAAGACCAGGACGACCGTACGAAAGACCTGCGACCGGTAAACCGATGGCGCGGGAAAAACCGATGGCGCGGAAGCGCAGAGGGTCGCAGGTCGGTCGCCTCCGGAACTGCGACCGGTTCAGAGCTGCGGTGAGCCGCCTTTGGCTGGGGCCCTCGGTGTCGGTGTGGCGCGCTCGCGCGCGGTTGCGCGTGCGGGAAGCGGCTATAGGTGTGGGTTCAGGAGTCTTTTTGGAATCTTTAGGTTCATCAAATGGTCATTTTTGGACATCGTCAGATCGAACTCACTATCTTCAGCGGAAGACACAACCATTTGCTCCCTTGCAACACGGTAGAACCTCACACTTCTGATGAGCGACTGGGGCAGAAGATGTGTTGGCGTTGGATGATGCCTAAAGGTTCAAGTGTCCTTCTTTGTACCACCATGTTCACTTTCAGATCTATCAAAAGCTGTATTGTTCCAACGACATCCTCTAAAGTCAGGCTTGGGCAGGCCGACCTTCAGTTGGCCGCCGGCGCCGCAGTAGCTGTGGCGCGGGAGTGTCGAAGCGAGCTAACCACGGCTCTCTTTGGAGCTGTACCTGATACTGTCAACAATATCAGTCACATCAGGTGACTGGAAAACTGTTAATCTGCAAGGGGGGGCCCGATGCGACGGGGTCACATCAGGGTCACATCAGGTTCCTGTTTACAAGGCGCTTTAGTGTTTGAACAATGTTTTGGTTTTATGCAAAATTATTCCATTTCCTTTACGGAAGCAGCAGCAGTAGGCATTTACACCAGCAGCACACCAGCAGCAGCAGCAGCAGCTACCACCACCACCACCACAACAACAACAACACCAGCAGCAGCAGCAGCAACAGCAACAGCAACAGCAACAGCAATAGCAGCAGCACACCAGCAGGAGCTAACAAGCAGCAGCAGCAGCAGCTAACAAGCAGCAGCAGCAGCAGCAGCTAACAAGCAGCAGCAGCAGCTAACAAGCAGCAGCAGCAGCAGCAGTTAAAAAGCAGCAGCAGCAGCAGCAGTTAACTAGCAGCAAACAAGCAGCAAACCAGGAGCAAACCAGCAGCAAACCAGCAGCAAACAAGCAGCAAAAAAGCAGCAAACAAGCAGCAAACAAGCAGCAAACAAGCAGCACACCAGCAGCAAGCCAGCAACAAACCAGCAGCAAACCAGCAGCAGCAGCAAACAAGCAGCAAACAAGCAGCAGCAGCACAAGCAGCAGCAGCAGCAGCAGCAGCAAACAAGCAGCAGCAAACAAGCAGCAGCAGCAGCAGCGCAGCAGCAAACAAGCAGCAGCAGCAGCAAACAAGCAGCAGACAACAGCAGACAAGCAGCAGACAAGCAGCAGCAGCAAACAAGCAGCAAACAAGCAGCAAACAAGCAGCAAACAAGTAGCAAACAAGCAGCAAACAAGCAGCAAACAAGCAGCAGCAGCAGCAGCAGCAGCCACCACCACCACAACAACAACAGCAATAGCAGCAGCCAAGTGTTTCTTCTCAGGTGTGACAATCATGTCACAGTCACCACTGCCCTGCGCCATTGGTGCCGAAGGAAGCAGCAAGGAGCTCTAGCTCACAGATGCTTCAAAACCCCAAAAGAAATACAAGCACAAGCAGCAGCAGCAGCAGCAGCAGCAGCACAAGCAGCAGCAGACAAGCAGCACACAAGCATGCAAGCTGCACAAGGCAAGCAGCACACAAGCATACAAGCATACAAGCAGCAGGAGGATATGGTGGTTCTAGGCGAGGCCCGGGCGAGGTCCAGGCGAGGTCCAAGGCAGTACATCCCAGCCCAAGCACCATGCCAAGCCCAGAAGCACCCAAGCTCCAAAGTGCACATGGCCACATGCCTAAGATCCAAAGTGCACACAGCAGCACCCTGCAGTGGCACCAGCACCCAAGCTCTCAAGCGCACACAGCAGCGGCACTCTGCAACGCGCCAGCACCCAAGCTCCCCAGCACACCCTGCGGCGGCACCAGCGCCCAAGCTCGAGCACGCAAACACGCAGCTCTTCCTACACTGGAACAACAGCGGCACCCTTCAGCGGCACCAGCACCCACGCTCGAAAACGCACACACGCAGCTCCTTGAAGTAAGAACCCTAATAGCTCACGCTGTCTGTTGAAAAAACACGATGCAATGATGCAACAAGGTTGTTGAATCTATCACACAAGCAAGCAACGCATGGGCACAGCACATTAACATCAGTTCGTAGAACAAATAGAACAACAACAAACATCCTCCGAAAAGCCAATCCCCAAGGGCACACCATTTTGATACGACTTTCCTCCAGTTGATACGACTTAAAGCGAGGCCCCAGTAGCATTGAAAGAAAGGTTAGCTAGATCATTTGCATGTCGCATGTTCTCAAAACAGCATGGAATCATGAAACCGATGCGACTTCCCGAAGACCTTTCGACGCAAGTAACGGCAACATTTAGTGCAAACCGATGGGACTAATCTATCTGAGAGTAGGTGTCACATTCACACAAATCTGGGAACTAGACTATAAAATACGAAACATGCCTAGGGCCTAATGCCCTGATGTTCAGGAAAATGCTCCGATGTGTGTGTGTCCATCATCTTCTTTCGCCCCCGCCCTGTGCGGCTTGGCTTCTTTCAACCCTCGCGCCTGGCGCGTGCTCGGTGCTCGGCGTTTCACCCAGAGCTTCCAAGCAGCGTTCACCTCAGCCGGACCGGTCAAAGCCAACCGGACCGGTCTGATCTGAGAAGTCGGTCGCAGTAGGAAGGCCGTCGCAGTGGGCCTACCTCTGAAAGGTTGTTGGGGGTGAGATCTGTGGAAGACGGATTTGATCCAGAAGTCAGCCCTTCGAGCCAGACTATCCGAACAGTCAATCACTTTGAGAGATACTTTGAGAGTTCTTTGTTTACCCGCTTAGATCGATGCTTTGCTCTTTAGATGCTGATCTGCTCTCGCGGCAGGTCGACTGGACACCGCGGAAGGCCTCTGCCGCCGCGACAGGCCGCCACAACGACTTGAACGACTTGGCAGCTCGGGTCAAGAGCTGCCGAAGACCAGGGCTCTCGGCCCATTTCAAGAGACATCCGGGCCCATATGCAAACCACCAAGGAGCCGCTAAGATCACCAGCACCGATGCCAACATCAGCAAGCCGGAATCATAGGCGACACCGCTCGAAGCCATTTGAAGTTCGCCCCCCTTGTTCGCACGCGGCACAGGTGGGCTGCGGACAGCCTCGAACTAAACTACCACAGGCCAACTAGAGGTCAGGTTTCAAGACTGAAAGACAAGTAGATACATAAAGTCAAGAAAGATTCGCTTGACCTCCACTTGGCCTGTGCACTGCAGCCCTTTGCTTCACAAAGTGCAGCAGCTATAAAGCTTGAGCCACCAACATCCACACATAGTGCTTGCAAAGCTCCAACTTCACATCCCCAGCACATGGACCATTTGACCTTGGAACCTGTTCTGTGAAGAAAACAAATCATGATATATACTGATACTTTGGGTCTATCCTAACCTATTACCAGTGGATGATGGTTGTTAGGTCCCTTGTTCAAAAACCAGTGATGTCCTTGTTTACCGGCTATTACAGGTAATAGGACAGACCCGACTGATACTGATAACTTGTTTTATGACACTGTTGGAAGGAGTCACTTCAAGCCAAGCCTTCGCTCGCCTGAAGATCTGGACGGAGTCGGCTCTGGAGTCTGATGACCTTGATGAGTTTGTGGCTTCAAAGATTTGGTAGTCCAAAAAGCACAGCTTGATTTGAAGCATTTGGACTTCCCTTGACGTGAGGGAACCCAAATCACGCAATAGGCTAGGTTAAAGCATATGCGCTCAAAAGTTCTTTTGGTGGGCTCCCTAAACACCACAAACACTCAACGGTTTAAGCAAACTTCTGCGAGATAGCTGTCCAAGTTTCAACCCCTCAAAAGGATAGTCCCAAAATACCCCCAGCACCTGGCACTTCCTTAGCCTTGCTGCCAGCTTCCAGAACAAAAACCGCAATATGGTCACTGCAGGCTGCACCCCAACAAACACCGGCTTCATTGTTTGGCTCGACACGCCCGAGGCCGCATCACACTAACACCAAGTTCTGTAAAGCAAGGAGGCACATCTTTAAACTGAAGGCCTCTGAAAGGCAGCTCCTGTCTGTTGGAGCTATAACTCGGGATTCTCAGGCTTTAAAGTCTGCAACTCCTTCGATCATGTGCGGGCATCACGAAGTTTGCAGATCCGTGAGAATTCCAAGGCAGGGCATCCAGCTGTCGTGTGGAACATTCGGAGGGCGGCTGTGACGTTGGAGGGGAAAGGAGCGATACATGATACAAGGAACGATCGCAAACGACTCCTTGTGCTCTATTCAGGTTTCTAATAGCACTGGCTTTCTTTTGACTCCAATGGCTTCTTTCAACTGCACCCGAGAGTTTCCTCACCTGTCACTGTCACAATGATTTTTCTTTGAGTGGTTCCATGGTCCGTATCTATGGTCCGGTCGCCACTCCGGGGGCCTCCAATGGCTCATCCAAAACCAAAAGACCTATAATATAAACAACGTTCACATAGAAACATCGTCCAACTTTGGGTGTCAGAACTGTGGACAACTGCATTCCCAAAAGCTCCAGTGTTGCACCACTCGAGCGTCAGGCTGTACATCTGAAGCTTGGGGCATGTCAGGGGCTATGGATGCTTGAGGAGCTCGGTTTTTAGATGTTCAGAAGGCTCATGGCCTCTCTAGAAGGCCGGTTTTCACGCATGCCGCATGCAGTCTTTCAACTCACAAACAACCATATGGGTCAGTGGGGTCCATTCATCCCAAGTACCACCTGGGAGTCTCTACTGAGGACCTCAGGTTCCATGTGGACCTCTTCCAGGGACTCAATAAAGGTCGGTTGAAAAGAACACATATTCTGAAACCACCACTCAGCAAGTAAACAAAACTTGTGAGGAGGTCAAAGAGATTCGTCGCAAGGCAAACTCGCTGAAACCTCCAAAGAGTAGGTCGGCGGTGTTCGGTCTTCCTCCCAATCACTACTGTGGCTTCCCGGTCGAACTGAAGGGCAAGGCCGTGGATGGTGGATTCCTGGAAGGGCCGCCTCCAACCTATAGCAGCCTACTAGTCGTGTGGGGCTCAAGATTTACAGAGTCACGTCTTGGAGCCATTTCGCCGTTTCTACGACGGTGCATCCTATCAGGATCGTCGCATCGTCACCCCTGGCACCACCAAGATCTGCTTTGGACAAGGCCACCCTGGTCAGGATGACAATGCACAGCTTCCGAGCCGTACTTAGATGTTCGACCTCATTTCATACCAGCATTCTTGGATGTTCGATCGTTTTGAAGGACTAGATTCCTAGATAGATGTTGAACACAATTTTTTCACCAACACATATGAAGAGGCTTTTGTGAAGCAGGACAATCGTATACTTTGTGCGATCCACTCGATGCTCTTCATTTCGGGAAACCTTCGCCCCGAAGACTACTCGCGAGGCAAATCTCACTGCTATCCATGTGCGGCCTGCCCAAGACAAGGTTGAGCTTGAAATGGTGGGACAAAACAGCAAAGGTCACTCGGATTCCGTCGCATTCTTCCGATTTTGGTGTCTGAAACTGTAAGTGTTTGAGGGCCAGGGAGAAACCAAAACAGGCGTTACCAGCTTTCCGGAGGAGATTCCGTCGCAGTTTCATCATGGTTCATCGAGCGCCATTAAGGGGACTGGGAGGGGCTTCATCTCATCCATAACGTTTGTCTCAAAGCAGAGCCCCCAATGACCAACGATGCTGAAGAAAAACAAAACGAGAGATCAGGATGATGAAGACCATGTCGAGCTTCTGCAGACCTTCTGGACTTCCCATGCCCGTCCATCCCCAAAAACCAAGCGACAAAGCATGCCCGGCATCCAGTGCTTCTAGTCTTTCCATGACTTCCCCCTACGGCCTTGACCGCGTTTTCTTCAGCACCATTTCAGGCGCCCCCCTCGCGCCTGCCCTCCTCTTGGAGCGCAGCGAGACCGACTTGATCAGCATAGACCCGTTTCACCAGGACCTCGACCAAACGACGAGCGTGGAGGGAGGCCTTTGTTGGGGGTGAGGTCGATGGGAGACATCGACCACTTGAATCGTATGGCCAATTAGAATGATAAGCAAATCACGTTATATATATATATATATAGGAATCATCATATAGCAAGGTCAGCTATCCATCGAGAGAGCCGGAGAGAGCCAGTTTGCCCATCAAGCAGGGATCTCTGAGCCAGTGACGGCCAGAAGCACTGCCATCAGCAAGAGGCTCAGGTTGGAACGGCCCATGTCACCTGCAACGCCGGCATCACAGGACTGTCTGAGGGACTGGCTGAGGGATATCTCATCGCCACATGGCGCCACTGCTTCCAATTGTTTTGGAAGCTTGTGAGTGATCCCCTTAGGCTGTCAGGAAGATCTATAATAAGTTATATAATGGATTCGGATAGTCAAAAAGCCTAGAGATTCTCCACTATTCTCCCTTGCTGATCCTACTTGCCTGTTGACTAACCGCTCACGCTCAGAGCTTTGTTGCCATATCCATGGATTTCAGTCATGGTTCCAATGCCCTCTGTCAGTCAATCGACCTTTTCTGTTGGTCGCAATTTTGCCGGGAGACCAATGAGACCAACCGAGAAGAAACTCCAAGAAACCCGAAGAGACTCCGGGAAGAGAACGAAGACCAACCGGTCTTGAAACGAGACCCGACCGAAGAAACCCCCCTCCGTCCGAGCTCGGCCTCCGGAGCGCGGCGGTTAGGCGGTCCGCAGCCGGTCGGGCGGTCGTCGGGAGCGGACGGTGAACCACTTGGAGCAGCTGGGCACGTGACGACCAGCGACCAAGCAAACGTCTTCAGCACGTGTGTTAGACCGATCCAACATGTAGTGCCATGCGGGTTGGATCGAATGCAACAAAAAGAGCTTTCATCGCACTGGGGGCAAGACACAAAGAGCTACCAAGTGCTGGCTCTCTTGAGATCTCCTCCAAGGAAGAGTTGCTCAACTGCGTGTCAGCTGGATAGGTATGTGCGCTACTTCAGCATGTAGCTGAATCATCTATGTAGTCTATCTTGCAGAATAGGCTGAGGAAGTCTAGTCAGCACGGCTGGACCCCTGGACCGTAGCCTTAGCAAGTACACTGTACACACAGTTTGGGATGCTTGGCGGATGCGCTGGACGTGGGGGGATGGGAGGTGTACGCCCCAAGTCACTCAACTCCTGAAAGGTCCTGAAGAAGCTGCCCTGAACGGAGCAGGCCCTGATTGGAACATGGCCTGGAGTTCAAATGCATGTGGCGAACAGTCGTTCATGGACAGAGCTGTCCGTAGATTCATAGAATTGGATTGTCGTATTCGTAGGAGGACTGATTTTGGTTGGCACCAGAGTAGGGAAAATCCTGCGAACTGATGCAGTATGTGTTCGTATTTATTCCGCCATCAGTTTCGACGATAGAACCAACCGAATATGAGGCTGTGATTGTGGAAGAAACGGCTCAAAGATTGACTCACGTATGTACTGTACTGACCAAAGATGCGTCAATTGAAGCATTGCTGAAAAAAAAAATCAAATACCTTTGAAGAGGTCTGGGTCGGCTGGGTCTGTTTTCACCACCGGGAACATCTCAATCCCACCCGATCTGGAATCACCGCTCACGGTTGGGCGGTCGAGGATCTGTGGCATCGATCAAGGTGGGTTCCGATGCCTCAGCCTTGAAGCATCGGCCCATAGGTGGGTTTGGTGGCATCTGGACATCTCCACACAGAGACCACCGAGCCCCTCCACACTCTCTACCCATGCCTTCACAAAAGCGTCACAAGAAGGTCTGCAGCTCTGGGCCCTGCAGGATATCCTCCTGCGCATCATTTCTGCGGTCTCGAAGGCCCCACTACGAGGCATGGGAGAAGAAGCAAAAGGGTTGATCAGATTCTGGAGAGAGAGAGAGAGAGAGTCAGAGTTAGTGAATCTGCGTACTACTTGGTACTTCTTTTCCTGGCAGGCAGGTACTTGCAACGAAGAAGCAACATGTATTCAAACAACCAAGGTGGTCATGGTCATAGTGTGGTACATGCACAGATATGTGTCAGTCTCCTGTTCCTCTTCCTCTTTGACCCTTCTGGGTGCCACTCGGTCCAATCCTAAATCTGACCCAGCGCAAAC